ATCTTGGATAAAAAAAAAAAAAAGAAATCAATATATAAGAGATGAAAATCTTGAATCAAGAAAAAGGTGAGATTTTTTTGAAATTGAAACAGAGGCATGGAAGGTAAGAGAAAATGGGAGTAACTGTCTGAGATTGAGCTTTGCTGATTGCCGATAATGGTGGAGAGGTAGAGAGGAGAAAGAAATTGAAAGGTAACGCATGGCGGAGAAGTGTGGGGCCGAGATTTGTCCACGTGTAGAAAGGAGATTTGGGAGGATTGAGTTTTACTATTTCTGAGGAGAGAGGACTGCTACGTGCAGTCGCCTTTCTCTTGCACTCTCCAACACTCTCTCATATAAAATGGCCACGTACTAATTTTTGGCACGCAATTTAAGCTGATGTTTAAGTTGATGTTTCCTTTTGTCCATTGAATTAAATTAAGCTGTAGTACAATCAATTTGTGAAAGTCTAAATGAAACCAACTTAAATATGAAAAAGACAAATGTGAGATCGTGTGGTTAGATTCATGTGAGATCGTGTGGTTAGATTCATGTTAAATTCATGCCAACAAGAAACCAATATTATGTGTTTTAATAAAAAAAAAAAAAAAAATTGGGTAGCAAAGGAAAACTAACGCTATTATGTATTTTTACCACCTATTCTTTAATTGGCCTACAAATCAATCTCTTCCTCTATCTAAATAAAATTTGTTCACAAACTTATGTGTATACAATTGTTCATAAATGTATTCACAAAGCAATCTGTTTGCTTATCCACAATCATCCAAAAATTTTGAATATTTTTAAATTTTTTCACAAATCCATTCATATTTATTAGCTCATAAATCTTCCCAGTTCCCATTCATCCGTATATAAATCCATTTGTTCAACGCTCCTTTGTTGGTCTGTTTATAATCGTTTAGCTATCATCCGTCTATATTCACAAATTTATTTGTCTTTATATTCACAAACTCATTGCTTTGTCCATTGATAAATTCATCTTCAAATTTATCTGTTTGTCTATAATCATCCATAAATCTATCCACTCATTCACTATCACCCATAATATTTATTTGTAGATATCCACTCATAAATCTATGTCCTTCAATACATCCATATCTATCAATTCATAAATCTATCCATCCATAAATTTATTTGTTCAAAGTTTGTTCATCTACCATCAATCCATGTCTACAAATTTATCTGTCATTTTTAATTTGTTCAAAAATTTGTTAGTTCATAAATCCATTTGTCAACAAATTTATCCATTTGTAACTATATCTATTCACAACTTGTCTATAAATCTCTTTGTATTTTTCGTTGGTTTGCCGGTTTGCCATCTTCCAGCAGCATCCATCCATACCAACAAATCTCTCCATCCATAAACAAAACCACAAACAACCAACATTAAATTTTCTTTTTAAAAAAATTAAGTTGCCCTAAAAACGAACACTAGTATGTATTTTTTTGTGAATTCGGATATTCAAAACTATCATATCTATTCTTAAATACATCTAAGACAGATTTTCGTAATATAAATCTCACAACAATGTTTGGTGAGACCTCAATCTGTACTTCACATTTGCTGAAAAGTGCCATAGCTCTTTCAACAATGTTTTGCAAAGGTCGAAATCCTAAATCGGCCACTTAAATAAAAAGATACGTATACATTCATCTTAAAAAAAAAACAAAACAAAACAAAACAAAAAAAAGAGAAATTGTCTCTTTAAGTTTTTCAATAAAAATAAACTTAGGTGGTAAACACATTTTTTATGTGTGATGATATTAAATGTTAAATTATTATTAGTTTATCTTAATCAATAATTTAAAAAAATAATTTAACTCTAATTTTTTTTAAAAGAACAAATTTATCCATATCATTTTATTTAAGAAGTGAATTTAAGAGTTTTCTCTTTTGTAAATATTCTCCTTTTTACTAAATTCCTAAATGTTCAAAAAACACAATTTGTTCTTCCTCAAAAAAATGTATCAAAAGTCTCATTAGCATCCAATTAGACTGAGATTGTCTTGAAATTTAATTTTTCTCCCATTGTTCTTAAACTCAAAACCTATAAAATGCTTACTACTCATAAACAAGGAAGGAAGAAGATTAGTTCTAATCTTTTTAATTGTGTACGATGACAAAATTGGAGGCAGAGAGCACGTGATTGTTGAATGGTTGTGCGGCACAAATGGACGTGGCAAAAGAGCCATTATCCAAACTTTGTGGTAACCACCCACAGCCAACAGACTCTTATCTTTGGCCGTCTTTGCTTTAAATAACAGAAACATTCTTCGCACATGTAGCTTTCAAAATTACAACAGAAAAAGGGTTCATGAACACAGAGCTAGTGCACTCTGTATCCAAACAAAAACAGGGATAAGGAAATGAGCGAGCCGACGAGCCCTTTTATGTGTTTAGACGATTTATTGCGCTTCCAACATTTTAAGTAACCCTCTGCAGTTTAGTTCAGTTGTGGAGAAACAGCTGAGAGCTTAAAATAAACTTCTTTGTTTGGACGAATCAAGCTTTTCAAACAACAATTATTAATTCTTAAATGTTAATTATAAACTCTTTGAAAACTGAAAACGAAACAGTGCCTAATAATTTTTTGGAATGAATTCTTTTTATTCTCGATGCCAAACAGAAAATTCCTCATTGACACAAATTCTGGACACAGTGGCTTGTTAGCACCCCTCTTATCATGCTGTAATAAGAAGAAGACTTGAAATGGATCCCTAGTTGCAATTTTTTTTTTTTTTAATTTTCATCGAATCATATACCAAAATAGAAATTAAACAGGATAAACCATTCATGAAATTTTCACAAAGATACAAGATTACATTAGGAGTAAGTTTAATAATGTCATTACACATTCCATAATCACAGCTGCGATACATGTAAAAGCCAAATCATATGATCCATAGAATACATAAAAAGGTAGTTAATTAACTTACTCCCTTTTCTTCTTAAGTTTCCCTGTAAATTCTCTCATTATGTATATCATTTTTCTTATGAAGAATCTCCCCATCTTAAAGATTCCTGGCCCATAAATAGAATCAATAATCTCAATAAGAATCTGAGATTGCGATGACCAAAAGACAACGACCGGAATGCAGGCGAGCAAAACTAGCGAGAAGACTACCCACCATCGATCAGGTAACATTATTGAAACAGCAGCACAAAACGCTACCATCATTGTTGCAACAGAAATGAGGAGCATGAGAATGCCGATTGCCAACTTACGAAAATCCTTTTCAGTGTAGGGATATGTGAGGATTCCTAAAAACGTCAGCACTGAAGTAGATGCAGCGGACAGAGAAATTGCATCTGACATTATGTATGTCAAAAATAATCTTTTATGTGAGAACACGGGATAGCCTTTTCCATTGTTACCACCGGGGATGGTGAAGGCTGCAGCAAACATAATAGTGATGATGAGGGTACCGACTATAATGTAAGAATTTGCTGTTTTCTTCATCCATGATTCAGCTTCCTTTAACAATTGCTTGTGCTCCCTGGTAAACACTTGCCAAGGAGTTTCTCCCTTGTGATTCATCCAGCTTTTACACAATGGAAATTCAGACTCAAATTCCTGCATCAATTCATAATTAAATTAAGCTACTAACCTCTTTTTAAAGGCAATTGTAAGCTGCTAAATATTTTTACAGAGCCAAATTAATAAAGGAAATAATTATAAAATGCCATGATGTATATAAATTTTGCATGGTTGATGAAAAAATAAATATAAGCTAACTAACTACCTTGAACCATTGTAATTCCTTCTGCATTTGAAGGGCTGCACCTGAAAATTGAGTAAGATAAGACTCTGGACCTAACTTTGCTGCTATGTGAAGCACATTGTTGCCATCGTCATCTGTCCATGTATCCCATGATTGTTTCCACCTAGGGCTAAAACAACGAACATACTCCCGTCGACGACATTTGATTGAATAAATTGCCTTTCCATCAGATGCAAAATCCCTTGCATCCGGGTTAAAGTCTACAATTTTAAAAAACTCTATTATGCCATGCTTGATAGATTGGAACAAAGCTGGAAGGATTCTACTCTCAGCCATTTCTTCCGCATTCAATTTCGGTAATTCATTAGCTGCCAAACGCAAAATATTAGAAGCACGTGTATGGATCAACTTCCGCTCGCGTATGTCATTAATCCCTGCATACGTATCCCCAAATTAATAAAATATATACCATAGGAAACCCAAAAGTATATATAAATTATAACATACTTAAAGTTTAAATCTTGAAATTGATTTAAAAAGTTATCTTCTACTACATGGACCATCATCTAACAAATAATTAATTTAAAGGGAGGGATTTCACGAAATTAAACAGCCACGTACCCAAAAGCTTTTGGAGCATTGAACTAAATCCAAGTATGCCCCCCGAAAACAAACTCAATCCACGTTGTAGACGACTTTGCTCTGCAATATATCAACTCCATTCTCATAAGATATACAATAATTTGCTAGGTATTTATAATAATTTTCAGCATACTATATATTTTAAATTGTTAATTATTGACTTATTTGTTAAAACAAATTGTACTTATATGTGTTAAAAAAAAGGTGTTGACCTATTTCGAAAGGCAATTGATAGAAGTAATTAAAGAAAAAAAAAGTTTTTTTGTCTTGAATTTTACCATGGTTGTGTGAGAGTTACTTCAGGAAAAAAAGTTCGGATTTAATTCATTGGATTTTGGTACGTTTAACGTCTTACTAATATGGTAACCATTATTTGAATAGAAAAGTAAAAATTAAAACATTCTCTCATCTTAAATGTCAAAACATCTAATTCCAACTACATGCTAAATGAGATTCAAATAAAATTTAAGTTATATCTAATTTATCACGTGATTTTAATTAAATGTGTCAACATTTTTAATACCAGAACATCTAAATTTTCTATATCCTTTTGTCTTGATTAGTGAATTTTCTTTTTATTATTTTAATTTCACGTAACTTTTTGAGGGGAAAAAAAAAAAAACACTCAAACCACATAAAATTGGTGTTCCTCTCGCTGTTTACTTTGATTTATTTTTTGTTTGTGGTATTGTTATAAGCCAGGTAATTGTTACCAATATCATTAAGCTGAAAGGCACTTTGAAACTTGAATCAATACATACCTTGTTTGCTTAAGGACTAGCGCCTCTCTTCAATCTTATAGTCGTCAGCAGTCTCTTCTACTTAGTAGTTGCAGCCATTCTCCCCCACGGCGGAATGAACAATAGGTGGGAATACTCAAATACTAATTATTAATATTAAGGTTAAATTATTCCTTAGTTGTCATCATTCAACAAAAACCTCCTCCTTTGTGAAGGCTTCTCTCTCAAAAAGTCTTTTTCTATCTTTTGGAGTCTCTACATAGGCTTTCTTGGTATTTTTATTGCAAAACTTGATATTCTTAGAGTTTTGCAATAGTAGAGAAGACTATACATGGTGGCTAATTTTTCTGCCTAAAAGTGAAGCTAATAGGTCGAGAGACTTCCAAGTGTTGAAGAAGGTTGGAATAGTTGTCTATCTACTTTGTAGTCTGTTCGTGCTCTTACAACAATTATTTTGAAATCTTTTTGTTTTAGATGGATTCTTGTTCTTAATTGTTTATGTATGTTTATAATTCTTTATTGTCTATTTCTACATTTTGTGAGTCTATCAAGGATTTATACCCTGCTATATAATATCTAGTTTTCTTGATTTCTTGATGTACTATACTCCTTTACCTATATTTTTCAATGATTATTTTATCCAAAAAAAAAAAAGGGAGAAAAAGATAAAAGAAACATACCTTGTCTTTTGATGTCATTTTGTTCATTTTGATGCACTGAAGCAACAGAAATACTAACATCAGTAGAGACTGTAGTTGGCGGCTTTACTTCCTCATCGGATATAAGATAATAAATCCGTCGCCGCAGAAATGAAAGTCGGGCTCCACTATGGAACAGGGAGGTTTGAGCAGACAATGTTAGAATCGGAGTCAACTCCCGACTATTGTATTTGAATCTGGTGAACACCAAACGCGGATATTTATCCAGTAGATCTAAAGCAATATCTGATCATGTATATCAGAAAACATGTAAGAAAAAGTACTTTATAATTTCAACAAAAAAAATAGTAGTACTTAGTTACTGTACTTGGAAAATGATAATAAGATTGAATATATATCTTATAATCTATGTAGGTATATAATTAAAACTCTTACCAAGCATTTCATTAAGCATACAAAAATGGAGGAGTAAGGGACCATGCTCGCCGTTGCCCGGGGCTAGGAATTCCAGAGTCTCAGAGAAGAGATAGCGTGTTGTTTCCTTCCTGCGTTGGACGCATGCCTGCACCACTGGAATCATTCCTTCTTTGTTCGGCATTTTGAGCAAGTTTTTGTTCTTTTTAGTTAAGCATTTTGCAATGTCCGTTTTTCCAAAATAGGCAGCATAGGCAAGAGCTGTGTAATCACTTTTATCTTTAGCCGAGATTTCTTCGTCGGACATTATCTGCACCAGTTTCTCAACCCCCTCCACATTACCGAGTGCTGCTGCAACATGAAGAAGGCAAACACCATCACCAACAATTTGTGGATTTTTTCCAGGACGCTCACACTTTTCTAACAAGTTGATAACGGCATCCCACTTCTCATTGCAAACGGCATCAAAGAATTGATCGCTAAGACTCCTTTCAATTGGCTCCGTTTCCCCGCCTGCAACAAATTAAGTTCCCTAGTCCTTAAGAAACCTCACCAAGGGATTATATATATATATATATATATATGTTGATCATATGTATTTTTGAAGCTAAAGAAAAGGAATTCAACAACCTGGAATGGTTCCCTCAGAGAATCTGCAGAGCTCTGACACCAGACTTAATGATTGAGGTCCCTCCAAGTGCCATTTATTCTTCATTTCATGTATTCCAGTCAATTCTTCCCAAGCCTCTTTCGCTGAAGTTTTCCCCATTATCTGAGCAAAAATCTCCGGTGCACATGAGATTTGAAGGGCGTGTAGAACTGCAGCATTCTTTCTGTTCCAATCAGCGGTAACCTCTTCATCAGTAGAAGACGGTACATTGCTTGATTCAACAACATTCCAAAGATTTTGTGCCAATAAATAGTTTCTCATGCAATTGCTCCACTCTTCATAATTGCTCTCTGAAAGAACATCAGGAACTATCATCGTTGAGGTGATTGTATTTCTGGCCATTTCAACCTACATAGATGGCAGCAAATCATGATATATAACTAAGCATAGATAATATGCAACGTTTTCTACAAGCAAAAGATTTCTCAGCAGTCATGGTTCGAGTTAATTTGCAGGTCTAGTGAATTAGACTTCTTATATTTTTGGTTTAAATAGTGTTTGGGTATTACAGGCTAGCTTTTCAATGGCAACCATCAAAGACAGACACAAACCTGCTCTGCTCTATTAAGGGCCTATTTACTTAGAGGTTAACTTTATTAAAAAATATATAATATGAAAAGTTAAAAAGTATAATATAAAAATAAAATTTATTAAAATTTTATTAAATTATTAATTTTTTATGTTTAATAAGAAATTAATATAAAAAAATTATAAAAAAATTATTAGGTGAGCTTTTATAAGAAAAAGAAAGAGGAAAACTTTTTTTACCAAATAAAAAACTTTACAAATTAAAGTTTATGTGAGATAAAATAAAAGCTAAAAATTTTATTTTTATCCTTTTTTTAATGTAGTTTAAAGAGTAAAAATACGTATATAATCCTAAACAATGAAATAAAGACAAAGTAGGACGAAAGTTTCCTCCGCAACCAAACGCCACCTATTATGAATTTGAATATCTTTCAATACAGAAAGGTGCCAGCGAACATCAAATGCTCCACATATTATGAATTTGTGGTTGAATATCTTTTTGATCATGAAGTTTTAATTCTGAATATTTTTAATTTGGAACTATAAAAATTATATATTTTTAATTTTTTTTGGACAATTAATCAGTTAAATATGTTTATATTTATATATGTACATTTTTAATTTTTAATTAGAGAGAAAAGAACAATAAAAAAATGTGTAGTTTTCATAGTTCAGATAAAGATGCAAAAAAATGACTCAGGACAAAATGATCAAAATTAATACTTCAAAGACTAAAACATAGTGAAGTTTTAATATTGAAATTTAATATTTTTAGGGTTTTGATTTGGGAAGAAGACCAAACCTAGCTAGAGGCAAAAAGATTTAAAGAGAAAAGATGTAAGTAGAATGTAGATCAAAGAGAGAAGAAAGGGTGAGAAAACTGAAGGTAAAAGAACGAAACACAAAAAGGAAAGCCCAGTGGAGGCCGACGACGAGTCTCCTTTCTCAGATCTGAAGCTCTGCATCTCCACCTCTACATAGCGAGAGCGTATGTGTTCACTCTTTTATGTGGCTCAAACTGGTAACATATAAAACATTAATTTCTACAACCAAATACGAAGAGTTTTTTTGAGTTGTGTTTTAAAATAATTATTATATATTTTAACAATTAAATTTTATTAAAAATAAAAATTAATTTTTAATTTTAATTTATCAATTTATTAATTAAAATTAT